GAGATTCCGGAATCAGGCTGCATGCCTGAAAGTAAGTTAAGGTTCCAAACCTGTCCTGCGAGCTGGAAGTACAGTATTGCCCTCTGATTCTGGAAGATCACATTGGGAAGAGGAGACAGGGGGGTGACAGATATATCTGCTGGAATGTTCCATTTCACTGAAATGTCCTCTACAACAGGCTGCAGGGCAAACTGAAGAGACTGCATAACCTGAGGAGTAGGAAAAGACTCGTCTTAGTTACTGACAGGGCATAAGCATCCTAGAGATTAGCACAGTATATAGACAATTAAAGATCTACAATCCTCACTCCTGGTCCAATGGGGACCTTTTCTCTAAATTATCCAATTAAAGCATGATGATCATTTACAACAGAAAAACAAAATATTAACTACAGAAATACTCATATGCATATTAGTCATGTGAGAGGCTGGTCAGATATCTACATGACTATATTTGTCAACATTTCAGATGTATGTATTTAGCATTATATGAATATTAAGACATCAAACACTAAAACCTTTACTGGGATTAGAGGAATCTTTACATGCTGGCTTTGATCTTCAGTCTTCATTGGCTGAAAGGGCTGGACGACAAACAAGCTTAGAGAAGTAGGAGTGAGTTTTATTTGAGCTGAGGAGAGGAAGCTGCATGGATTAACTTGTGTTTCTCTAGTTCAGATGCAGGTGTGACTCCTCTTCACCTTTGGCTGCAGTCTCTCTGCTCCAGTGATGAACTGTGGGTGTCCAGAGCCGCCCTCAGCCATGCCATTCACCAGGGCACTGCTGGCCCCCTCCCCGATGCCAAAGGTGAAGCACCTGGGTACAGTGAGGAAACACACACACACACACACACACACACACACACACACACACACATTTCAGGTGACTTCTGAGTGGCCAACACTTTACTACAAAGATTCCAACCTTCAAACACAAATACTAAAAGCCAGGAAAACCTGCAAATTCATAACACATATTCTCACTTTTAAGAATGATTCTTTTCAAATGATGAATGCATGTCACTACAACTCCAATTTATCAGTCTCTCTTATCTTTGTGGGGACATTTAATTTGTTTATTTGGCTTTTATGCAAAATAACGTACAAACTGAGAAAACAGTGTCAGTCACACCCTGGGGCAGTGAGGGTGAAGGGCATCGCTCAAAGGTCCAACAGTGACATCATTCTGCCCCACTGCAGGATTCGAACAATGAACCTTTCAATCATAGGTACAGAATCCTTGTCCACAGAGCCACACACCATACATCTCCACAGCATCTGCAGACACACAGAAAGGTGATGCTCACCTGTGAGACAACGCATGTCTCTTCACCAGATCAATCACATCTTTGGTGTTTCCCACTTCTCCATCTGTGAAGACAAACAGCTGGCAGAGAGAGATGGAAGAAAATTGGAGGGAAGAAGAAACGGAAACTGTCACCACAGGGTAACTTCAGAGTAACCTAGAGTAATGAGTTTGAGACATATAATGTTCTATAGGAACGAGTATGTTTTTCAACAAGTGAATTTCACTGTCATTCATGACATAAACAACACAGTAAATTGATCATGCATCATACATTCCACTCCAATATCATTAACTCTAATACTGCATGACCACAAATGTTCCACAGCAAATACTTGAACTCAAGTAACACTAGGCGTACTGTATATACTGAAATAAAGAATCAGTGTTGAACAGGATAAAGAAATGAACAGCAGGTGGCGGTATGAGGCACCTGGCGTGGACGTGAAGGCAGACAGGGCTTGCTGTAGACGTCCTGGAGGACCTGAAGGATTTCTGTTCCTCCCATATCAGCCTGCATTGACTTCACCTTCTGCTCAGCAGTTTCCATGTTGGCCTGTGTGTACTCCACACTCTCACTAAGCCAGACAGGAAGATTTAACCCAGTGATGCAAAA